CTGTGCTTTAACCCGCTGCGCCACCAGGGAGGGCCGTAAACTTATATAACTTCATATTTAGTTATAGCTGTTTTTAACAACCAGCTGACAGGCTTCAGAGCATAGCACCCAAGTTATACCACCTCGGCAAACTGAATGTTTTAGGCTAAAGACATTTGAAAAAAAGAAATGTCTATCTCGTTATGATACCTATCATCCCACCTGTCCAAATTCATTTCCTTCTCTCCTATTCTCATGAGTGACCTGTCAACAATTAGTTTAAGGCCAGTCTTTCCTCTTGAACATGCAGCAACAGTCTGGTAAATGGCCTTTGTCAAAAGGCCTCCCTACCTTCTCCCACTCTTCTCCCCTGAAGCAGGTGTGAGAGGTAGAGGTATAGAGGTGGTCTCTATACATGGAATAAAGGTTATCCTTATCTCTAAGATGGACAGCACCAAGAAGAATCTGAACATACAGGTCTTGCTAAATTTCTCCAGTTTACCACACTTACTTCATACCCTTTACCCTAACATAGTTCTCAAGTATGCACTCTTCATCAATCCTAACATAAAAATACTCAGATTTCTTCAGGTCTGCATTTCCTTGTGAACTTCCCCATGTCAAATAAAACTTAGAGCATATAACTGTGAATTTTTTTCTCATATTTATCTGTCTTTGTCAATTTCAATTTCAGATCCAGCAAAGACCCTAAAAAGATCAAGAAAAACCTTTTATTCCCCTACACAGCTCTACTGCATCACTAAATCCCTTGTCTTCTTTCCTGTTCAAGAACACCTCTGTAACCATGTCATACCTCTTTCCTGCATCATTTGTCCCTATTGAATCAGCATACTAAATACACTGTGATTTCTTCCATTTCAAAAAAAGCTACTCAACCCTATCTTCCTCCAGCTCTATTCTAATTCTTTGCTCCATTTTTCATCCTCAAAAGAGTTTACTACAATCTCTTTAGCCCATTTCAATCAGTTTGGACCACTCCCAGTCCACTGAAATTACTGGTATTCACATCACCAATGCCCAAATTGCTTAATCCCCTAATCAAACCTACAAGGCAGTGTTTTCTTGAAATACTGAATGAAGAGTGGTAGAGGGTAAGTTGCCTCAGCCAATACATGTTGAATGTGTTTGTAAAGCCACCAATTTCTCTTAACAGGAGAGCAACAAACACCATTTTCCCTGGGGGTCTACATTGGTTCACAAAGGAGAGGTCATTTACTCGTGGAATTTGCCATATTCAATATTGACCTCTGCTACCAGAAAGTGGCTAGAAACTGGGTGTAAAACAGAAGTCTCCTCTTGACCATATATTCATAAACTTCTAGAATGTAACCCTGGGAAGCTGCTGGCCAGCTCTAGATTAGTTGCAAAAAGGCAATTCTTACTGAAAGATTAAAGGACATCTCCTCTTACCCCCACTAGCTCTACTAGAGCTGCTTGGCACAGTGACTTGTGTAAGAACAGATTCCCTCTGCCCATTTCAAGGGCATCGGGGCACTCGAGAGGTGGCAGTGCATGCTAAGCTTGACAAGGGAGGCCACTGCCAAGTAATCTTGTGGTTCAGAATCATAGCCAGTTTGCACAAAAATAATCTCACTTGCTGTATCTTCTGAAAAGGAAGGAAAGAACTGTGAAACAGATTTCCATTGCTTCGAAATTGGCCATCTTAACTAGTCAGGTGCTCAAGTTTATAAGCTTATTTGGTTAAGTTTGATAACTCATCTTTGTATCTTTAAGGCAAGACCCAGTGGCTTACCAATAGTAGGCATCCAATAAATGTTGATGGGATTGAATGAGCCTTTAAAAGTTGCATGCTAAAAGTGGACAGAGAGCTTCAGCCTTGACCCTCCTTCTTTCTCTCCATGTTAGTTCAGCTCCTTCTTCTGACCATCCACACCTTCCTTTGCTCTTTCACTAATATTTTTTTAACTAATCAGTTTATATAAATTTTCCACTGACTTTGCAGTTCTCTAAACAGCGAGGAAGTTAAGTATAATTCACTTTTCTCCATCCATTGGCCAGCAAAATGCCTGGCCCATAATAAATGTAGTAAAGTCATGAATGTACTTAAAGAGCATGACTTTAAGCAACTGTCCTTTCCTATCCCAAAACCTAACTTTCTCCATCAACAAAATGAACAAACAGACCAAGACTATCTTTTAATTCCCTTCTAGCTCTGCAAGATAGAGACTCAAGGCTGGCGTCGTAGATAGAGTTAACTGGAACCAGGGCACAAAACAGGAATTTGCAGGGAGAAGAAGGCAGTATCTCCAAACAAGTTCACAATATCAAAGTAAGTAAGGCCTGTGGCATTATGCAGTAAGATTTCTGTTATGCCAGGTAAAAATGACATTGATCACACTGCCAAACGAAAACTAAGAGCATTAATTAGGCAGAGAGACTATTTCAGAGTATCAAGTCATCAGATCATCATAACATCCAACATGTTGCTGAGTACCTAGAAGATCTACCCAATTCCAATGTCTAGTAAAATATATAATAGTACCCAAGTTGTGGCTACAAAGGAGAAAAAAATTAAGGCGGGAACAGCATGATAGGTGGGGTGAGGCAGAGAGGCAAACCTCTCTGAGAAAGTGGCATTTAAGTAGAAGGGTTGAAAAAAGAGAGGGAACAAATCATGCTCATGTTTGGGAGCATGTTCAAAGGTCCTGAGGCGGGCATTCATTGCCTGCTATGTTTAACAGCTAAAAGGCCAGTGTTGCTAAAGCAGAATCCTGGGAAATCGTCAGAAAAACAACACGAAATTAGGTCACATAGTCTT